TTTACTGGGGCGGTTTAAGGTCCAGTAATTTTTGCTAGAAAACCTACATTCCTACATCTTTCCTCCAAATGTCGGTTGGTTCAGGCGCATTCCAATCCCCCAAGCAGCCTGCTGCTGCTTGTTGCCCCGTTTTCGGAGCCAGGAGTCCAATGACTCACCGGACATGCGGGCCATGGCCTTGGAAAGCCATTGCTTGTGGGTCAACAGCCCGGGAAGGGGGCCCCCTGGTGAACACCAACATATCGCTGGTAAATGGTGGGTTCATCCCCCCAAGGTATAGTATAGTAACTGTACGGCCAAACACCTCGTCTTGCCTGCACCTGTTGGCCCGCCTTCTTCGTATGAGCTGAAAAAGTGGTAAAAATTTGATATTTTAGCATTATGGTTGACTTGATGTTCTAGATCAGAACGCACAGCAGAGGGACCTGTGCGGGTTCGTTCCACATCATCATCATCATCATCATCAATGAAGATCTTCAACGAATATAGAAGTTTAACCCCGGTGGGAGAATTAAACCCTTATTGAAGATCTTCAATGAATGTAGAAATATGTAGAAGTTTAACGGGGGTGAAAGAACTAAACCCGCCCTTATTGAAGATCTTCAATGAATGTAGAAGTTTAACGGGGGTGGGAGAATTAAACCCTTATTGAAGGCCTTCAATGAATGTAGAAGTTTTACCGGGGGTGGGGGAATTAAAACCTTATTGAAGATCTTCAATGAATGTAGAGGTTTAACGCGGGTGGGAGAATTGAACCCTTATTGAAGATCTTCAATGAATCTAGAGGTTTAACGCGGGTGGGAGAATTGAACCCTTATTGAAGATCTTCAATGAATGTAGAAGTTTAGCGCGGGTGGGAGAATTAAACTCTTATTGAAGATCTTCAGTGAATGTGAAATGAATGTAAAGTTTAACGGGGGTGGGACTTTTATATTCCCTAATACCTTTGTTGATCTTCCCAAGACAAGAAGGGTGTGGGCGAAACGGAGTGTTTGTGCGTAACTGTATAGTAACTGTATAGTATATAACTGTATAGTAGGTTTGGATGAATCCGCAAATATGACCAGCCAAGATACCTGTCACCATTGGAAAGGACGTGTTTGAGTAGAATGATGGGTAAGAAAGGTCAAAATGAACCACAACAGGGCACCAGCGGACCTGCTGGTGACTGGATCAGTGGCGACGATGATGTATGCTGATTCGCATCCTACAGGTTGCTTTGGCCTTGATATTTTGCAACCCCATCCTACTCGTAGATGACACTCTAGCAAGAAGAGGTTACAGGGTATTTCTAGCCCCATTACAAATGTTCAACCCACGTCCACCTGAGTTCTTCCACACATGTCCATACCAAGGCCCCAACGAAACTCCAACACCACTTCCCACCCTTCCAGGACACCACACCAAGCAGATTCGCCAGCCCTCGCGACAGGAGTCCACCTGCGGCTCTGGAAATTCCCTCTTTTTGCAGCTGATTTTGGATCAAAAACCACACAGCCCATCGGTGTGTCCAAAAAGATGAAGGGGAGGGGAAGCGAGCGCTCAAGCCTTGACTTGAGTTTCCTCTGTGGAAACAAAGCAGTTTTAGGGGCGCATTGCATACTTCCTCTTTTCCATCCAGCTGCCTGTAACTTTTCACAAATCGATTTGTGGCCATTTCAAAAAGGCCACGAAGTCTTGCGCATTTCAACCAACCATAGAGGAAGAAGAAGTGCCTCCACTTTGCTCAAGGATTGGAAGACAATCACAAATTCTTAGTTTCTGAATTTCTTGATTAGCTGGCTGTCAGTTTATTGCAGAATGTCTGTTTATCTGTTCACCAATCAAAGCGGATGATTTTCCACCAGGTGTCCGCACTCACATCAGCAGCTTCATCAAATGGGGAACTGCAGAACAGGTGCACCGGACTCTTCTGGGGAAAATTGAGTGGTCTGCCCTTTTTTGAAACTGGCTCAAGCGGCGTCACTTGAAGCACGCTCCCGCTTGAGGCCCGGCACAAAAAGGGGAGACAGCCAAGCCTTGCATAGAGGAAGAACACATTCAAAGGAAGGTCTACTTAGAGTCTACTTGAATAAAATGAATCCTGAAACCATCTGAAACCCAAGTTCAGGCTCGGATCGCCCTCAATCGGAAATGAACTACTGTAGTTCCACCTACAGTATCTATCTATCTAATTGTATCTAGTGATGCCTCTCGTAGTACATTATATAATCTATATAGAGGATTATAGAGGAAACAACCATCATCATCAAGGTTCTTCCTGCAAGACCTCGGAAAAGGCTTCGTTCAAAAATAGTCGCTGCAGGTTCGAAATCTGACAAGTGATGACTCCAGGATCTGCAGCCAGAGGTTTGCTGCAAGTTGGCTTTGCAAGTGCATCCCATGCACACCCTAAAAACATCCTAAAACCATGGCTGGTCTCCGATCCTTAGTGATAAAAATCATAAAAGATATAAAAGTCATGAGGCCCATACTCACTATTGTGTACATCTTCTTGATAAAGGTTTCTCCTGCGCAAGTTTGTCTTCAGGGACTTTCCAAGATCCTTGTAAAGCTGCTTGGAATCTAGCTCATCATAGGACCATTCAGGGCGCAGAGACCCCAATCAGTCAGTGACGAACATTTCTTTACAGATCTGAAGTGTTGAGAAACTGCAGCTAAAAGCTGGTCATGGTGCACTCCCATCCTGGCACAAGCCCAAACAACTACAGGCACAGCAAGACGGAAGTCTGTCTCGGTCATCTTCGGAAAGAGACCGCAGAACCGTTCCACAGCTGCCAGCACAAAATTGCCTTGTGATAAGATAGATTCCACCTCTGCGACGCTGTCACTAAGGAGCACCAGTGCGAACAAGCTGTTTGCAACCTCCTGTGCTTTCATGTCCTTGGCGATCACGCGGACTTGGGCCACAAATGCAGGGACACCTTTCAATATATCAGGCGCAGCTTCCTTCAACGTTGCTGCTGCCCACAAGCTGTTCGACACGCACTGTGCATTCATGTCCTTTGCAACCGCGGGAACCTGGGCCACAAGTGTAGGGACACCATTCAATACATCAGGCACATCTTCCTTCAAGGTTGCTGTTGCCCACAAGCTGTTTGAAACCTCCTGTGCTTTCATGTCTTTGGCGATTCTGGGGACTTGGGCCACAAGTGCAGGGACACCTTTCAATACGTCAGGCGCAGCTTCCTTCAAGGTTGCTGCTGCCCAACGCTCAAATACGCTCAAAGTCGTCCTCTTAGTAATTAGGCTGATGGGGCCACAGCAAGTGCTACTAGTATCTTCAGCGCTGCATCTTCAACGTTGTGATTGCCCACAAGCTGTTCGTCAGGTCCTGCGGTTTCATTATCTTGGCGACTACTTGAACCCGGGTTAAAAGCGCGGGTACCATCTCCAGTACATCAAGGCCAGCTTCGCTAAACGTTGCTGCTGCCCACAAGCTGTTCGAAACGTTCTGTGAATTCATGGTTGGTGTGATCCTAGGGACCTGGGCCGAAAGCAAAGGCACCAGCTTTCTCACATCAGGCACAAAGTCCCTTAAAGTTGCTCCTGCCCACAAGCTGTTTGACAAATTTTGGGCATTCATCTTCTCTACTATCGTAGGTACCTGGGCCACAAGTGCAGGCACTATGTCAAATACCTCAGGAGCAGATTCTTTCAATGTTGCTGCAGCCCATAGACTATTTGACACGCTTTGAGCGTTCATCTGCTTCACAACTGCAGGGGTCTGGGCAACAAGTACAGGCACCACATTGAGTACATCAGGGGCGACTTCCTTCAAGCTTGCTGCAGCCCACAAACTATTTGACATGCCCTGGGCATTTATCTTCTTTGCAATTACTGAGACCTGTGCCACAAGCGCAGGGACAATTTGTAGTACATCAGGCGCGGCTTCCTCCAACGTTGCTGCTGACCACAAGGTGTTTGAGACGTTCTGGGCGTTCATGTTTCTTGCAATCACATGGACTTGGGCAACAAGTGCAGGTACAAGCTGTAGCACCTCAGGCGCTTCTTCCTTCAACGTTGCTGCTGCCCACAAGCTGTTCGAAACATTCTGGGCATTCATGTTTCTAGCAATCACAGGGACCTGGGCCACAAGTGCAGGCACAGTCAGCAGGACGTCTGGTGCAGCTTCCTTCAAGGTCGCTCCTGCCCACAAGCTGTTTGACACATTTTGGGCACTCATGTCCATCGCAACCAAGGGGAGTTGGGCCGCAAGTGCTGGCACCGCTTTCAGCACATGAGGAGCGGCTTCCTTTAGGGTTGCTGCTGCCCACAAATTATTTGACACATCTTGGGCATTCATGTTCTTTGCTGTCAAGAGGATTTGGGCCACCAGAGCATGAACCATATTCAGCACGTCCGGGGCAGCTTCCTTCAAAGTTGCTGCTGCCCAAAAGTTGTTGGACACATCTTGGGCATTCATGCTCTCCCTGGTCGCAGAGATCTCCGCCACCAGTGCAGGCACCATTTTCAGCAAATCAGGCGCAACTTCCCTCAAGGTTGCTGCTGCCCACAAGCTGTTGGACAGATTTCGGGAGTTCATGTCTTTCGCCATCAGAGGGATTTGCGCTATTAGTGCGGGTATTGTA